TGATGATTCCATCTTGTCATGAACATAACCAGGAGGCAAAACAAGTGGGCATAGGGACCAGGGACAGCCATTGTTTATATGTGCTAATGAGGAGATAAAAGATCAGATCAAGGGGAAGTTTGGCTGAAATATGGAGGCTTCATGTTTGGTAAAGTCTAAAATAATGATTTGAAGGATACAAGGCATAAGGAGTCTCTCATTACATCTTTTCTCTTCCTCTTCATTTAGCAGAACCCAGATAATTACCCTTAGTTCCTTCCTCATCCCATTTCACATAAGCATGCCTCAGAAATATTTAAATACAATAAATAAACAAAAATCACAAAATAAATAAATAAATGAGAATAAGCGGAATTGTTGTTTAAAGTGTTCACAACTCTTTCTGTAAATCGTCAAATCTCTGGTCACAAACTATGGAAAGCAGAACAGGACCAAGGTCTGGACTGAAGTGAACTGCATTGAAGTGAACTGCATCCTCTTACCTTCAGACCTAGGACTGCATAAGCACACAGCACCTCTGAAAACACCCCAGCATAGAGACATTGCCAAGCATAGCAACAGGGGAGTTGCCTAAATTGGAGACAGTGACCTTTACTTGAATAACTGTGTGTATGTGCATGTGTGTGTGTATATATATATGTGTGTGTTACATACACACATGTGTGTGTGTTTGTGTGTGTGTGTGTGTATATATATATATATATATATATATATATATATATATACACAGTGGGGAATATTCTTAATAAGCCTTGACACATTTTTTAATATATTGTGATATTTTGAAAGCAATATGTATCCATTGTTATGACATTTTTCTGTCCCTCAAGCTCATTAAGATGGGATCTTACCTGTTTACTATATAACCTTCAGTATCTATCTCTGTTATTTCTGTTATTTCTCTGGCACTTAAAAGTAATTCATGCAATGTAGAGAGTTTATAAAAGAAGTTGTTATCTGTAGGCTATGATTCCAACTAAGGGGTTTTTGATAAATTAGTAATGGATCTGATACTTGTCTTATTTTCTGAGGTTGCTCTTTGTTAAGAAAGCACACTGTGGTTTTGAATTATATGAATGAAATAATTTATACTGGTTGTAGTTAATGAAAAATAAATATTTACAAAGACAAGTGTAATGCAAAGGAAAAAAGGACATTCCCCACCAAATATGATAGACTGAAAACAGAATAAAATAGAAATTCAAATAAAAAAATTCATTCCTTTATATAGGAGGAAAGAAATTCTTTAAAAGTAAGTGTCATGAGAAACAATCACTCTTACACATTATCTGAGAAATTATGAGTTAAATTATCAGAGTGATGTAAAATGTTAGAAATATAATAGATATCATTTTAGATACTGTCATCAAATATGAAATTATTCAAAGTTTAGCCTGCAAGGTTATTGAACATGAAGAAATAATTTAGACCCAGAATATAAATACTAATGGATAAAATATTTAAGGAAAACAAACCATTTCCGCATCTTCTATAGTTCTCACACAACTGTTAATGGCAAGGGCTTTGACATGAGGCAAAGCTGGTTGGATTTTGCCTACTCTGACTTCCAAGACTTGGTTTCCTCCTTTGTCACATGAAGATCTTGAAATAATACTACCCACTTCATACGACTGGTGTAAGGTTAAGTGAAATACTTCAGTCTCATTTGCAAGGTAAGAACTCAAAACAATTGAATGGAATATTGTTGATAAATTAATAGAGTCAATCTTACAAGTGACCTGTGGAGATCACCACTACTCAACATGCTGTTAGCCTCACTTAAATTCTACTACACTTAAGAAGACCTCAATTTACTTTAAAATCACTTGCAATTCAAGTACACCATGAATTGAAGAAAACTTTGACTTTAATTAGACTGAATTGATGGTACTTTTCAAGCATCTGGCTTATCCTAAAAAAAAAAAAAAAAAAGACTATGTGAAATGTAACAATATGTGCAATAAAGAATAAGAATAGAAAACTAATTGTTTTTGCATTTTCTTTTCTTTTCTTTTCTTTTTTTCATGAAAAAGAAAAGCAGCACTTTACCAAAGTTCCCAGAAAGAGGAATTAGTCATACAATTTCTCTTTATTTAATAAAACCATTATAATCATCCCAGGAACACTGGAAATCCAATAGATAACACAGCTTCATCAAAAATTAGCAACTTGGTAAGTCTGCTTACAGTTCAACCAATTCTACAGCCAGCTCTTCTCTAATGTCTACAAGAAAGCATCTTGCTCATTCCCTATTTGTTTACTGTCTCCCCCATTATAAGTTGTAGAAATGGGGGCCTTATTAGGTTTATCCCTCACCCCAGTGACTCCTCAGTGAGTAGACATGGTAGACACTCAGTAAATATCTGTTCAACCAATGCATAAGAGTAGGAAATTGAGTAATAGAACTAGCTAGAAAATTCTAAGTTTTCCACTAGTTGTGATTCATGGGTCATATACTGCACTTTCTGAGAGACCCCAGATATAGGAATTTTAAGTGGTCTATGCTAATCTGTTGAGGATATCCTCAAATATCACAATACTTTTTCTCTGGTTCTCATCTAAGTCTTCTCCTTTTCCCTATGTGGTGTAGGAGTTGGTAAACAGGGGGTCCCTGTTTTCTAATTGAATCTGAGAATTTCTACAGTCAATGACACATCAAGTCCCAGCAAGTATATACTGCAAAGATGCCTACTTCCTTCAAAGTCTGCAGAGAGGTGGTGAAATACTGAAAAGACTTCTCAGATTTGCTTTTGAGTTACCATGGGAGTGGAAGAGAAAAAAATATAGCAAAAGATTAATTAATTAATTAATTGAGTAAAAGCTATCCAAGTCATCCTTAAGGTAAGGTATCTTATAGTTCAGGCAATATGAATATTGGAATTTCTAGAAGAAAATACAACTATGTCATTCTTTTAAATCAGAACATGCTGTATTTAAAATAGATTGTTCACATGAGACCAACGCTTATAGCTGAAGTGGACTTCTACTCTAAAATTTCATTTTTTTCTTCTCAAAATAAATGTATCAGACATCACTTGGTAAATATAACAACTATAGCTAAATATTTAGAAGTGTGATTTCCCTATGATTTGGCACTAAAGAACTGGGTTTTACATTCCACCATAAAATTATCCTTGATAGTCTTCTAAAAGACATGGACATATTTGAGGTCTCACAAAGAACAATTTAAATGTCATGTTGTAAGAGAAAGTAAAAAAATAAAGCTTCTCACTCAAGAAACCAAATGTAATCAAAGTGAAGAATGTTATCTGAATCAGAGTTCATATTTGGTCTAGTCTATACTAATCTATTTGATGATTCATTGTTAACATTGAATGATTCAAATGCTCTCAGAAAGTTTGGGGCAAATGTTAACCTACTTTAATTAAGTCTGATAACTTATTGAAGAATAATTTGAAGTAAATGAAGCAGCCCCTCCAGAATTATTCCAATTGCTACCAAGTTAACTACCCATAGGGAGGGACGAGAGGATGTTTATCAGCCCCTCCCCATCTTCTTGTGAATGAGTCTCCATCAGAGGCACTTTGGTGACAGGTAGGAGTAGGTGAGAAAGACATGAGAAATCAAAAACTCGCAGCTATTTTTTCCTGGGTCTGGCTCTTGTAGCACGTATTAGTCACAAAAAGTATTGAAACCGCTTTAGGGAACTTTCATTTCTTGTATTCAACTTCAGAATCAAGGAACTCCATTAAGTCATGGCACTTCTACTCTTCCCAAGATAAAAAGGAGGAAGAGAAAGGGGGAGGCATAGATGAAGGGAAAAGCAAAGGAAAATAAGAGGAAGAAAGCGAAGAACTATTATTTATTCCTGTATGTCAGGACTACATCAAGGGCCTTTCATACATTAACTAATATGAATCATACATAAGGCAATTCTTAGTTTCCCAATTTTATAGATGAAAAAATTAAGGCATAGAGAGGTTAAGTTATTTTACCAGGATCAGACAGCAAACAGCCATGTTATGATTTAAACATGGGTATAGTCTACTAAATGTCTCTAGTCTTTTAAATATTACTCCACATGGCTTTTAATAAAAAAGAGAGTGAAATCTTCTGGGTAAATACTCTATGAAGTGTTCCTATCCATACCCTCTAAACATCATTTCCTAAATGTGATAAAATTCGGTGATTTCAACCAGTTTATTATTTGCTTAGGGAGATCCGAATGAAGACAGAAATACAAAAATTGGAAAGAGAATATGTCACAAAGTATGCAATTAATGACTATGCATTCTTGATGATGACGATGATGATGATAGTGATGGAAATAGCATATTAGAAAATATAAGGTATAACCTAAAAGAAATAATACACTGTTTTGTTTTAAACTAAAAACTAAACACTTGCTTAGGAGAAAATCTTGTTTCTGTTGAAGCTGGCACAGGGTGGATTATGAGTTGAGTAAAGAATGGAAATGTGATGGGGCTATATGTGTGTGCCTAAGGCATTCACAGCCAGAGTCATAATTAATTGAATCAAGTGTGTGAGTCTCTATCTACATATCTATTAATCTTTTTTTGCTCCTAAGTGGAAATTAGTTTATTTGACAATAATTTAAATCAAAAAGAAAGCAAAAAAACTAGTCAAAACCAGCTAAACTGGCCATCCCATTGGAAACTGACAAATCTTAATGGTTCAAGTATATGAATTGACTCCTTTATGATAAGCACAATAAACTTTTACAAAAATGAAAGTGTCATCGAAGCTCTGATATTTAGAAAGACAGAAAAGAGGTGTTGGAGTTCCATTTTATTTAGCCAAACTAATCAAACAAGACCTCACTTAAAAAGGAATTTAATCAATAAACTTACCTGACCTAACCTGATCTTCCACATCTGGGTGAATCACACCATCCTACCCCTTTCCACTTATGAAAAATATCAACTAATTCAATTTTAATGACTGTGTAATTGAGTTCCCTCTAAAGCATACACATCCACCCATTAAAAAACAGTATGTATCATTATGAAGGGACTTACATATTTGGTTTCTCGACCAGCTGCTCTCGGAAGAGTTGTAGGCATCTGTATGAAAAGAAAAATAATTATACTACTGAAGTAACCACAAAAATACTGAAAGATTCGACTTCTGGGATAAGTGTTCACCTTTTTTATTTTTTGTCATTATGAATTTCTAACCATTCTGCTCTCTTTTCTATACAAAACCCTGTTCTTCTGAAAATTATTTCATTAAACTATATCACTTCATTATTCTTTTCATTGTCATTACCTATCAGTTTTCTGATAAGTTTTCCCATATTTACTGATGATATCCATTCGTGAATCATAATGGCCCCTTAAGGGATTTCTGCCATTTCCAAAATTCACATGGAAGTCTCTAAACTCTCACTTCTTTAAGCCACTGAACTCCAAAGGTGTTCTCATACATTCCATTTTACTCATCCACTCTCAGGATCATTCCTAGACTTTGCCTTCACAAATAAAATGGGCAATCTGTAAAATTTTAATTTGAGCATCCTACTCTGAGAATTCTATCTCCCATTCACTTCTCAAATGTCCCCACTACAACATTTCTTTAGCCCCATTGAGATTCCAAAATCAATGAGTTTTACCTGTTCCATTGTGGTGTTGTTAACCCTTAGTTTATATATATTTCAAATTATCAGTTATTTTAATTCCTTAATTTCTCTGGCCTCCCTTTCTCTTTATGATAAACTCACCCTAAAAAAAAAAAAAAAAAAAAAAAGAGAGAGAGAGAGAGAGAGAAGAAAACCACAACCCTGGTGGACCTTATCATCTATTTTCTCTAAACTTGAAAAGCAAAACATTGTGGAGAAACTCTCTCAACCAAGCTAATTGATTTCATTATAAATTAACGGTTACCAACTTCAAATGAGAATTCAATACTGCCCGGTAAGCCTCTAATTTTTCTCTTGTAGGCCCACTTTCCTACTTTCTGAAATGAGATGTGTTATTTGAGTCATTTATCTCCTCAGCAAATATTTATTATATATCTACTATGTGCCAGGAACTTTTCTATACCCTTCAGTTTATAACTAAACAAAACAGACAAAGATACCCTGTCCTTGAGGAGCTTACACTCTAGCAAGATAGAAGGTAAACAATAAAATAATGAATAAGTAAATTACACTGTATGTTGCAGGTAAATCACATATTTCACTATATGTTATGCAAAAAAAAAAAAAAAAAAGAAAGAAATAATTTGAAGCCTAGGGTAATGTATTCTTCCAGAGAAAATCTTTTCTTCTGCCAAAGACCTTATTTCTTTCAGATAACCCAGGTGTTAAGAAGGTCAAGAGTGCTGAGGGCTTTTAAATAGGACGGCCAATCTAGAGAAGGTGACATTTGGGTTAAGATTTGAAGGAAGCGAGGGAGCTGGATATGCATAATCTAAAAAAAGAGCATTTCAACAAGAAGGAAAAATGTAAAGTTCTCAAAATTAATTCCCACCTCAGAATGGTGGCTCAAGGACTCAAAGTAATCCTTTCAAAATAGACAACAGTAATTAAAATATTTAAAACAATATTGACATGTTATTTATTAAAAACATCAATGAGCTAATAAAAAAAAAAAAAAGAACTTGGGCTCAAGATCAGGAAAAGATGGGAATCCAAATAGATGAGTCAAGCATCTGAGACTGGCTTTTATCCTAAAGATGTTTGCAAACAATAATGAGTTGCTTGAGAAACTGATCCAAACTTTTGACTGTCTCAGAGGTGTAGGGAGATAAAAGTCAGAATCCATGATCCCCAAGAATAGACCGAGCCTCAGGACTAAGAATGATCTAGAAGACCTCACATAGTCTTCAGACTTGCCCTAAATCATGAAAACAACTGCTTAGAAAAAAATCATCCCCAAACCGTAGATTAAATTAAAAAATCCTTCCTTGCTAATGCTCCTGGTGTCTGACAGAAGCAAAGAAAAAGCTCTCTGTAGTAAGATAATATCATCTGAGCCCTCAAATAATTTATATAAATTAACTTTTGAGTAGAATATCCAAAACACAATCAGATTCAAACACACAAAGAGGTAAGACAATGTGAGTTAAAAGGAGCAGAAATAATGAACAACCAGAAAACATGCAGAGAGAATCCAGAAATCTGTTTTCTAAGAACCAGACTGAAAACAACCATAGTTACCAACATGCTTTTTCTGCGATAAAAGTTAAGCTTGCAAATTTTTACAAGGCACTAGAAACTATAAGAAGTGATATAACTGATTTGAAAACAGAACAAAATGTGCTAAGACAAGAGCATGCTTGGCACATTCGAGGCACAGGAAGGAAGCAGGCAGAGCGGTCATGCTGGGAGCAGGGCAGGAGAGCAGGGGAGCAGTGATGGAAGGGCTGGGGCACCAGATCATAGAAGCCCTTCCAGGAGCTTGTAAGGACTCTGTTTATATCTAAAGGAAATGTGTAGGCACTGCTGGTTTTCAGCTGAGGGGGGCCATAATCTGATTTACGCTTGAAAAGGATTTCTCTCTTTGATGTGTTAAAAATGAATCATAGTGAGGTAAGGATAGAGGTAAAAAAGTATTGCACTATCCAGCAAAACATGAGGATGGCTTAGCAGTACAGAAAGCATGAAATAATCATATTCTACATACATTTTAAATCTACAGCAATAGGGATTCTTACAGCAATGTGGAATATGAGAGAGAGAGAAGAAGAAAACTTGACACCAAAGTTTCTGGCCTTGTGCAAACAAAAGATTAGAATTCTATAGGTGGAGATGGGAAAGCAGGATATGAAATAGTTTTTGTGGGAAGAAATCTAGATTTTAAGATTTCAGATATTTATTAAAAATCTAAATGGAAATGGAAAACAGATATCTGGGAGAATAGAATTTGGGGATAATCCCAGACTAAAGATAGAAATTTGAGAGTTGTTAGCATAGACTTGTCTTTCAAAACACCAAAGGAATGAATACAGAGAGGAATGAGAAGTCCAAGGATGGATTCCAGCATCCCTCTAGCATTCATAGTTCAGGAAGAGGAGAATGAGCCAGCAAAGGATCCTAAGAAATAATAATGGCAAGTGATGTAGGACAAAAGCTGAGAGAGCAGTGTCCTGGAAAGCCCTAGAGGAATGTGTGCAAAAGAGGCGGGTGTGTCTACTATTTCCAATTTTGCAGCTATGGCAGCTCTGACCAGAGCTGAGTTTATAGCAATGGGAAACTGGGGAACGTGGTCTGGGCAGCACAGTGAGGGCACAGACCTGAATAGAGGGGATTTATGGGGAATGAGGGAACTAAAATCAGAACACCTAATGGTTTACAACTATTTTTCTAATTTCTTCCCCATCGTATGGTTGCTTTTCAATCTCAATTAATAATCTTAAACCTTTCTTCACTGAAAGGTGTTAGTAATTGAATAACTAAACATATGGGTTACAAAATCCTTCATTTTCCCTCCATCCACCTACAAACATGCTTGCCCCCACACCTGACATTTCCTCTGCTTTCTGTTCTGTTACAATGGCAGGTTTCCAGGTTTTAACCAAATGACACTTATTTGAATTAGGCTGTAGGTTCTATGTCCTTCTGAGGGATTTTCATCCTTCAGGATCTCCCTTTTTCTTGTATAATTAGCACCTCCCCTCTAGTGAATCTATCCCATGTCAACTTGCTCTTATCATTTTCAGCTTTAAAAAGCAACCCAGAAATTCCTTGACCTACTTCAGACCCAATTTCCTTCTCTCTTTCACAGCCCAACATTTCCAAGTAGTTGTTTCTGTCTGTTTGTTTTACATATTCTGTCTCTGCTTTCTCATCACATATCACTCTTCAACTTTAGAGATAAGGGCAGCAGAGGGGTAATATGAGGGAGAAAAATTTGAGGACAGTGAAAAGAAGTATCTCTGAGGATAATTTCAAGATGTCCCTTCAGCCTGGCTGGGGGAAAAGGGGACAGTTAAGCACAGGTTTGGACAACTGGACAGTTTTTGAGGCCTTCCTCAGAGATGACAATGGAAACGGCTCTTTGAAGAGGAGCATGGAGAGCCATAAATAAAGGTACAGAGAGTCAAAGATGCGGGACGTCATCACCAGGGTGGGAAGAGAATGGCACGGGGAGAGTGGTTGACATTACAGCTTTCTACAGCCTGAAACACATGTTCTTTTTGTTCTTCATAAAACAAAAACAAAAGATAAAATTCAGCAGAATTGGCAAATCCTAAGCCCTAGGCTTTCGCGTCTTCCACCTAGGCAGCAGGCACACTTAGAGCCGAGCAAGCCGATATGCTCCAAGAACTTTGAGTTTCCGTGGAAAAATAATAAGAATCTGAAAAATGCGAATGCTGTAGGAAAAAACAATGGTGCTGTTATTTCTCTCCTAGATTTTTACACAAGAGAAACATGTCCATACAAAATCTTGTTTATAAGTGTTCTTCGTAGCTCTATTGGTAATAGCTCCTAAGCAGAAATAACCCAATTGTCCATCAAATGGTGAAGACTTAACCTATGGTATGACCATATGACAGAATACCACTCAGCAGTGAAAACAAATGAACTAGTGATACATGCAGAAACATGGATGAATCTCATCTGCTTTTTACTATGTATAAACAGTGAGACTCAGAAGACCACATACTGTATAATTATATTATTTATATGACATTCTTGAAAAGGTAAAAGTATAGAAACAGAGAAGAGATCAGTAGCTGTCTGGTACTTGGGTTGGAGGGAGGGACATACTACAAAGGAATACAAGGGAACTTTTTCATTTGATGGAAGTGTTTTGTACTTCAGACATGGTAGTGGTCACACAACTGTATTATGCTTTGTGAAAACCCATAGAACTGTACACTGAAAGGGTAAATTTAACAATGGCTAAACTATACCTCAACGAATATGACTTTAAAAAGGAAAACTATATCCGACATAACAAATAACATAGAATTTAAAGGACAGAATAGATACTGAACAAATTCTTGAATTGAAATATCAAATCAAGGAATCCCCTTGAAGAAATTAGGAAGCAGTAAATAGAAAAAAAATGTATAACTATTAAGGTTTATGGAAAACAGAAAGCAAAAGGGACAAAAT